TAATTTTTGCCACATTAATCATAGTTGTTGTGAATGAGGTATAAAAGAGCAAAAATCAAAAATTATTCTTGGACCGAATTTTAGACACCCCGCATCTAAAGTGGGTTTGTGAAAATCAAGACATGATTTTTGTGATCGTGGACTCTTGATTGCGACATATGTGGTGCTCTGACATACGCTTTTGGCGATGTTTGTATGCTTATTTGCGCCTTTATATCATACATGGTCGCGATGCAGTGCAAACAGACTAACAATGTTCATAAAGATCGAAGAATACCCTGGCCGGACCGGTGGATAACTAAGCAAAAGAAAGAAAGTATACAAATAAAAATGGGAAGAAGGGCTATGTGCAAATGCATGAATATGGGCGTCGAAGCGTGATCTAATCTAAACGAGAGCATCTATAGTACATTTGGTCTTTTTTAACTGCAAGTGATGTGATGAAATTAATACGCATTCTGAAGTCAATAACGAATACAGTATTAAATATGGTATAAAAAAGAGAAGGAAAAAACTGCCAAAACATACAGAGCATTTGTACAAATATAATACGTACGACTAAGGTATACGCAACCAAATGTACATAAGCACACGCATTCCGTCACATATCCACCGATGCTTACATACATTCAAAACTCATTTAAACCTATATTTCATTCTAGCAATTTCTATAACGCAGACAAACACTTCAATTGCAAGCCCACACATGTGGCTTTACGAGTGCGCTTTTAAAGACTGCATATCTGTGCCTGCTATTCCCATAGAGCACTTTGAGCGTGCATGTAAGCATTTTAGAAAAAAAAAAAAAAAACAAAAAAAAAACTATTTTTGCTGATTTCTGTAAAATTGACAAGCGACAGGCAAGCAACCCAAGAAACCAACTAACGAAAAGTCTAATGAAATTAAATAGAAATCAAATTAATAGGAAACCTTTAGTATATGTCGGTACGTATGTCCATTCTAAAATCCCCAAGTGGAAGCACAAACTTTAAGTGATAAGCATAGTGGAAATATGAAAAGCACATGAGACGTATGAGTTAAGAGTTTTATGAAGGAATAACAAAAACCAAAAAAGTGTTTTCGGTATGACATCTCTTTTACATTAATCCAATGACTAGAGATAGTCATTGCAATGACATTTATGCACATTGTGAGTAGACGTTTTCATATATGTGGAGTTGCTTAGCATGATTGATTACTTTGTAAGGAAACAAAATGTCTTTTTGGAAATTTTTAAAAAAGAAAGAAATAGTTTAAGCAATTATTTAAGAAAAATACTCCAACTCCTTGGATATTGTACATCAAACAAAGCTTTTATTTTTTTTATAAAATAATGTAAGAAAGATATGTTAGATTAATACTAAACAAATTAATATTTTAATCATCAGTTTTTGGTCCTACAGCTCTTCAACTTAACATAAGTTTGTCGATTTACGAGAAGTCTTGCTTGGTCAACTTTAAAAGAAACTGTTACGTCTGCTCCCTCAATTATGAACAATTTTCCCTAACACATTAAACATTTAAAGAAAAGTAACAGCAACTTACATTCGACTATGGGCAAATTTTTTAAATGGATGCCACTGATCCATTCATACATACCATATGTTACTGTCGTACAGAGAGGATGTCTGCTCCTTCGATATATAATTGGTCGCATATCATATCGAATGTTATTAAATTTGGCAACACTTCATACTTTGTATTGATTGTAAACAATCCAGATACGTTAGTCAGGAAAACATTTAAGGAACGATGTGAAATTCTTAGCATCGATTATATTCCACCTACAATCATTTAGCGAGAAATAAAAAGCTATCATATTGCGACAAAAAGGGATGACGAAACAGTCGCTAAATAGTTCGCTAAAGTAAAAAAGCTGGCTTTTTGTTGTAAATTTGGTGAGCACTTACAGGCATTTGTCAAAGACAGATTCATAACGGTTTGCCCGAAAATATTTTCAATAAGTTGTGCAAAGCATTGATAATCGAAATGAAGTTTCCATGTAATGGTGACAGTGTTGGCAACCACGCTAACCGCATTAATGAAATGAGCTTTATTAAATATCAGAGAAACAACGAGAAAAGCGACAATAAGAAGAAACTACGCGAGGAACATAAATAATGCAAACATCGCTCAGCAACAGTACGTGCCATGCCTATGGTAAAATAGGCCACAATGCCTCAGTTTATTTGTCAAAATCAAAAACCAAATCAACTTTAATTTATTATTGACAGTAAATCGGATTTTGACATTTGCACTTCTAGTACTTTAGGCATATCTCACGATCGCTAGTGGAAGTTGATACCGTTGGTGTTATAGCAGCACGTAACACAGACCCGGCTTGCATTTTAGTTTCAACGTCGGTTTTGAAAGACAAGAATGGAAACCCGAAGCTTAGAAACTGCAACAGTTCTCAACAGTTAGAACTGCAACAGTTCTCAACTATAGTGATAATCTCATACCACTTTTCATGAGTACGATGCCACAATCGCTTACAATGGTGCCACGAAAGAAGCTGTTTTTGTGGTATTAGATGCAGCAGATTGTCCACTCCTTCCTCATTTCTCAGAGCATTTTATTTTAAATTACATGAATTAAACATACATCATTGATCAAATTAAAACGCAATTCAATCAAGTATTCAATGATCAGAGTACTAAGCCCAATATTCTTCAAGCCTAGATCATTGCCACTCTTTTGCAAAGCAAAAATAGAACCGAAGCTAAGTGACTTTATTCAATGCGGTGCGAGCAGATAATCCAGATTGAGGTACGCGACCAAGTTTTGCATTCGTATATGTTGCCACTGTAGAGTCAGGATCAATAAAGATTTAATTGACTTCAAATATCCACCGCCACCTACCTATCGATGAAATATTCGCATCTTTAGGAGGCGGTACAATTTTCACTAAACTTGATCTATCTAACGCATACAGTTATACATAATGATGGAGCAACAACAAAGCGATTTCGCAAAAATTGCAGAGTAAACGGTTTTAAACTGAATAAAAAAATGATCTTTCTCTCAAGCTAAAGTATCTCCACTGATTGTAATGGATTAAAAAGCTTAATGATCTTATTTCCAGCATAAAAATCCACCAAAAATTTCCAATTCCAAAAAATATCTCAGAATTAGGAGCTTTTATTCGATTGAATTTTGTAGATTGTTATCCATATTTCTATAAAATTTTCCACAGAAGATGAGTTCACTCTACAAATTGTTATACATTGGTGTACAGTTTCGTTAGAATAAACATAGCTAAGGAGCTTATGAAACCAGGTATAGCCTCAAATCAGCGATTGGTTCCTTAAAGCCCGGAACTGCCAATCAATATAAACAACTGATGCGTGAAACAATGGAGTTTGACCTCACAAAATTGGTCATGATCTTGAGCCGATATGCTTCAAATTTAGAGCTTCAACGAAAAGTGAAAAGTGCAATTGTCATTTCTGGTATAAAATTAAAACAATATTTGTTAGATAATCAGTTTATGTTGGGAACGATAAGCCAGTAATCTGTACCTTTGGTGAAAAAAAACGATTGTCAATAACGGCTTCAACATGCTTACGGAGATGGGCATTAATGTAATTCGAATTGAACTCTACCGTTAAGCACATTAAATGGAAACTCAGATGGTTTTAAAATTTGCCAAATCGGTCGGAAGACATACCGACAGCACCAGGTAAACTAAGAACACTTCGGTTTTTTAAAAGGAACAAACAATTTGTGTTTTGCTTTTTACTCATAAGCTATATGAGATAAGGTCAACGTACAACGCATATTCTATGGGTGATGCGTTAGCAAGTGTCCAAAAATGGGAAAAATGACCATGCCTAACCAATATGATAGTATATCAAAACTTAACTTTTTCTAAAAACCTTTATAAGATGCAAAAACTAGCTTGAAAACCCCCATAAAGTATACAAATTCTTCGCCGGTTTTAACTTATTTACTTACATCTAATCATGTCCGCCTGTTCCTCTGTCCATCTGTCTGTCTGAGTAACTGTGTAATATTTGTGGTAAACATTTTGCCATTAGCGAGACGCGCCTTTGCGACAAAACCTTTTGGTTTCAAAATATAAAAAAGAACCTGCACTCACACCGTCTCAAAGGGCACATTTTCTATACATAGAGTAGGTGCTCTATATGCTTTGCCAGTTAGTAGTTAAGTGGAAGAAATCTTGAAATTTAAACTGTGAAAATTGAACCCATCACACCTTTAGTTTATGTTTTATGGAAACAACCCCAAAGGGTGTACACATTTCTAGGTCGATTTGATTAATTTTCAAGTGTAGCTGGAGTGAAGTCTTCTTGTAGGTCTTAAGATTCTCAAATGTAGCCTCAAGCAGACTGACCGGTATGGCATCTCTGATCTAAATATAATTTTCAGCAAATTTTCTTGATTATTTTGGTGTCAGCTCACGATTGTCCTCGCAAATTTTTGTCCAATATATAAACATATTACTTTTAATTTTTTAACTCTTTTGCAGTGTCTTTTTCGTCCTATCGTCAAATTTGCGCTTATTTCAATATCCTTGACCATTTGACAATTCCGAAAAAAAAGAATTTATTAACCTACGCGAACATTTATTGGTTTAAATCTTTCCTTAAGTTAAACGAAAATTCACTTGAAAATTTTTGTTTGTAGGTGTTTGAAAATGCTTCGTTACAACATCACTTATAAGCATAAACTTACATAATATACCCGTAAATTTACCCACGCGTTCTTTAGTTGACGCAAAATTGCGGTAGGTGCCGCTAAAACTTGAGATATGTAGAAGAAATGATGACAGAATGTGAATAAATTGAAGAATTTGAAATATTATGACCACTTGAAGCCCACAGGCTTAAAATTTTGCAGAAAAATTCTGTAAAATAAAACTTAGATCAAGTAACATGCCGGGCGTTCCGAAAAAATTTCGATTTTCTACTTGTTTGGTTGCGGTTCTACCATAATGACGAACAAAGAATAATCGCTTGTTGTTTATCACAACTTACCTATCATCAACAAAAGCGTGACTGCTGCAAGAAAAGAATCTGGAAACCATGTCTTCAATGCCCACATTTTGCCAAAGAATGTTAGTGGCCTTTGGAAAGTCAAGTAAATTCAGTTCACTTATACTCAGACATTTAATGATACTCGTTGTCATCGACAAGGATGAACAATTAATTGATAAAAATATTGCCACTAACAACAAACACACTTCTCTGCGGAGGCTTCCTTCCGAATGCTTTATCCTTATAAGGACTGAAAATAAAGTGGAGAAAAAGATAAATTATGTGTGATATATAAAAAATATATTTTCTCATTATAATATTTAACCTCTTTTCGAAAAAAATGCGCTATAATTTTCCTAAAATTTTTTGATTTCGTATAACTTTATTTCCCCTACGGAATTTCTTAAACAGTTTTTAAATCTCTGGAGGGAAAATCTTTTCATATTTGAGCTAAAACGAATTTCACGAGTTTTTTTTTTTTTGCTCTCGCCAAAAAAAAGTACGTATCCTGAATTTGTGAATATATTCCCATATCACCAAACTATCTTTCAGTGCACATGTGCATATATCCATGCACACGTGAAACAGCATATCGCACTTGCATATTCGTAGACTCTTTAAATAAACCAATAGACGGATACAGTCTCTTTTAAACACACACATATATATATATATATATATATATATGATGTGTGTATATATATTTATGCATATATATGTGTGTGTATGTACATGTGTATAGGGATTCACACTTTAGTCTGGATTCCTTAGGAGAGTGTATGAATGAAACGAAGAGAGCTTCGTTGGCGGTTTAAAGGATTTTGTTCATGACTCTCTGATGTTTTGCATATAAGATGCAAAATCTATGAATATGCGTGTATGTATGCGTATATGTACAAATGCGTATTAGATTTGAAGCATATCCACAGTTACTTGCAGTCCTGTTGATTCTTTTTCTTTTCTTCTCTGTTAGTAGAATAAAAAATGAGGTTTTTGCCCCGTTTCTTTATCGAGTCAATTTGCATATTCGCGTAATAGTATTGACTTAAGCAAATAGCACGGTTCGTATATTTTACAATGATTGTTGCTGGTAAAATGTTAAAGAAAATGTAAAAGAAATTGAAAACCAAGTGAAAGCGCATTAAGTAGAGCTTAGAACGAATCTTGAATATAGTTAACCCATACCAAGAAAATATCTCTTTCAATTTTCTTAAGGATTAAGAAATGTTACAAACATATATATATATATATATATATGTACTTTTTTATCAACTTTCTGTAAATTTAAGTGTACAATAAGAGACTCTTTATTGAAAATCCGCATTGTGTTGCTTCAAACCTTTCTGAGATCACAAAGAGTAAAGCAAGCTTAATATTTATCATCATCTATTTCCCCTTTAGTAGAACGCTTACGTCTGATTTTCTTAAATAAACTTTACTCTAGCTGTATGTGCTTGAAAAAATCCTTTTAAAACGAGAAATTAATGCATCTTTTTTATTGTTGATCTTTTTTTTTTTTCGTTTAGAAAATATATTCATTATCTTTCCGTTTTTATAATTCTCTGATTGCTACCGCGAGATTAGTATTATTTAACGGAAAAACGTGGTCGCCGTAACTTCAGTCTAATTACGATAATATGGCTGGTTACGGTTTATTGTAATTTTCACCATTAAGGGGATCAATACGTGATCTAATCTAATCAAGCTGTCTTTACGTACTGTTGGCCAAAGTTGGACATTTTGTCATTATAAGAAATTTACAATTTCAAACAATCTAATTGTTCTTTCAGCTCAATTCCAAAGCAACTTGGTAATCGAGGGTCTTTTCAATTCGGAGCAGCCCTAACTCACTCACCCAACTTTGACTTCGTGTGTTGTTTTGGCCTACTGCCACCGCTCCTATTCCACTTTTTCTGTATTAAATGTTTTCCGTCATTTCTTTTCGCATTCGCTCTATTTCTTAAGAAAGCATGAGGGGACACAACAATCGCATTTAATTTCAATGCGCCCTGTAACATATGCGTCACAAAATTTTCAAGCACACTCCAAACAACATCTGTAATCATGCTCTCTGTTTTTGGTGTTACAAACAAGTTGCGCCTCCCTAATGCAAATACATAAGTTACATAAGTTGCTGTACCTAATCTCCATTCATTCTGAAAAAGACATAAGTTATGTAAGTAGGAGCAACTATGATCCCTTGGCAGTTGCGTAACGCAGAAATCAGCTTCACCACATTGCTTGGAGGTCACATCTTAATTCTTTTTATTAGTGTATGCCGTAATATGATATCATTGGCCTTGCTCTTATGGCACTAATCCTTGTACAACTACCTTGTTGGCCCCTTGTTGGTCCTTAGAAGTACGTTTCTTCTACATTGTCTCCTTAATAGATTACTACCATTAATAACGCAATTTGGGTGCAATGAGGGCTCTCAACACCAGTTAAAAATTCAATACATTTATCAAAACAACTAACTACAAATCTTTTTGAAAACAATAGACAGACAAAACAAGCAAAATTTAGATTTTTCCTGTAATGTAATGTAAGAAAGATGAATTTTCTGTGAGGAATATTCTCGCTGCGATTTTGCACCCCGAAATTCTTAATGAATTTTCAGAGAAAGTTTGTTTACTATGGGCTCTTATGCGGACAGACTTACAGAGTAAACCTTCTGATAATATCGATTTTCATAATTGTAGACTTGGCGTAGATACTCACTAAATTCGACGTTTTATTATACACTTTGTTTTTCTTTAGTCTCTTCTGTTGCTCGTCTATCTTACATTATCAAACATTTCGATTTCACGCCGTAAAATTTAAAGTTTAAACTTGGTTGCTTATGCAACCTGACTTAAATTATACCATTATTTGAATTAATGAAGAAGTAGTAATAGCGACTAATATCTGTTAATGTTGACTGACCACTCCAGAGAAAGCGAGAGAGAAAGAAACAATTCTGCAACATCTTCGGCGAAAATCAGCTTTTCAGGCCAACATTGCGCTCATATCGTAGTTCGTCTTGTCACCTCTTATTACCTATTATGCAGTAAGCACCCATAACCGAATGAAAGAGACATAAGGTTAAAATTACGAACGACTTACAATTCTCACACCTCCCTACCATGCACTCGTTTTTATTATTTGAAGGGCCTAAAACTTCCACCAAAATTGAGTAAGTTGCTATAAAATAGGCCAATGAAACCCAATTATTACAAAAGCCACACAATCAATACAGATAATAAAGAAATAAGCAGATAATGAATGAGGACAGAAGGCACAGATTTTAAATTTACAAACTGAACCTGAGGATGATTTAGATGTTATAATGAGTATCCCCTTTTGCCCAAATTACTGAAAAATTAAAATTATCCTGTAAAGGTTTCTAAGCAATTAATTAGGATATGCATGAATTCTAACTCATAAGCTATCTACTTTGTTTCTGTGCTAACATCTAGTATTTTTCTAGGGATGGGAGAACTTCAGAATGAAATGGATAACAGAAGAAACTAGGTTTGAGGTTTATTTTTGTTTTTACGTAAAAGAAAACTTTAAATCATTAACGCGATTTTTCATAGAAGTTTGTACGAAAAAATATATTATAAAAAATTAATCTTTTTTTTCTTGACTTGAGAATGATTATCTATCAACAATTTTTTGGCAAGAAACAAAAAATTAACAACAAACTTTACGAGTGAAATACGTTAAGATTTATATATATTGTTTTTTTGTGTAAGATAACGGCATTGTCTGGCTTTGTCTGTTATTTTTAACGAAAACAACGACAATAGCACCAAAAAGAACTTGACTTGTACATTTTATAAAGTATCTTTCCTTCGAGGAGATGAGAAGCTCAAAGCATAACAACCAGAAAGAATATGAAATTTAAGACATTTGACGGGAAAGAACAGATTGTGCCGCCAAAAATAAAACACGAACTTCCTCAAATGTTTAACAACAGGATCAAACCAAAACGAAACTAATTACGTAACCAAGGAGATGGCGTAGCAGCTATAGAACTTTCTCGCTTCACTTTATATTCGCATGGAATAAATGACACAAAAAGTAACTTTATAGTTTTCTTACTAATGCTGGTAGTTGCGCTTCTTTTTTCCTTTTATTTATTTATATTTTTATATTTTTTTTTTTGTAAGTTTTCAGTTTTGTTTCTTTCAATGCTGATCTTTACCTTAAAAGCATAAAAGTAGTTAAAAAAAAACTTCATCATTAACATTATCAACGTTAACTGTCTGCAAAAAAGAAAACATAATAACAAAATATTATATTCTAAGAGCATCATTAATGTTAGCAGTTGGCGAAAAAGATTTGAACATTATTTTTATGCAGTGTTAGAATTTTCCCTACATTACTGTTGTGGCAGCTGTTAGCTTTCTTTTTAACAAATTAGTTTAAAGATAAATACTTGTATGTGCGTAACTTTTTGTATTCGTTTCTCTTCTGTAATATTTGAACATTTCTCTCAGGTTACCTTACCGTATATTATTTATACTTTACTTAAATATTTTCATTTTGTTTGCTAACGCTGCCACTGGCGTCGTTTGTTATCTTAATTCATGTTTTTTGCTCTATTCGTTCTTTTGCGACATAGTCTCTGCTTATTACTTAAACTTGTTATCAAAAACGTTGAACCCGTAGGATAAAAACAATCACATTCCCTTCTACGTTCTTTACCGTCCATATTTTGTGTACTAACATTTACGTCATAACTGACGTGAAGCTTATTGCTTTGCTTAAAACCGCTTTTGACACCGTCCACTTGTCATCTTAAGTCAGTTCATCATTTTAACAATTTTTTTTTTCTGTTTTACTCTCTTCCTTTCACAACAACAAGAAAAACAAAAACTATGTGAGAAAGCTGAAAAAGCCAAAACTATATTCGAAAAGAATAATAAATGGTTTATAGAGCGACTTTTCCCTCTCTTTGCTTTTCTACTGTTTCAGTTGGATTTTCTTTAAATTAAAGCATTTTTCGTAATTCTATAACTGCATCCTCTTTCGTTGCCTGCCAAGTTCTTTAGGTTTGAAGCTATTTTTAATAATTAAAGCAACCAACAAATCCCGTCTAACAGCTCAACGATCGTGAGTTCAAATCTTAAGTGCGATTGAGTTTTCAACAAAGTCGATAGACTCAGATGCTAGTGGTTTAAGTCTTTATTGTTCAAATTTATTTCTCTGGCCAAATTAATAATCGTAGTAATAATTATATCTTTTATATAACATTTTTGAAATTATTTAATGATAAATGAATTAAATAAAATGCAGTTCAAATTTAAGGAAATCCTACCTATTCTCAGGCTTTAAAACCGGGCTCGTTGGAATATTTCTTAAGAAACGAAAAGCACACATAGCAAGACCTGCTGGTAAAACTTCAAGTCTTCACTGGGCCGAATTTGTTTTTTTTTTTCTAATTTGATATTTGGGGCTGATGCAGAAGAAAAATATGCGCTAAGTAATAATCTGCTATATCAAACTTGGCAGCTGGAAAATCTTGACCAATATATGTGGGCATGGATGAGAAATTTGAAATGAGCTAAAAATCGTGCGATAATTAGGGTGTGTACGTACACTATGGACTCTGTCATGTATATTTTCGAACACTATAGACTCGACCGTTTTTTGATACCTAACATTTGAAGGTTTCATACTGTCATAAATTTTTTTTTTTTTAAACGTGGCGCTGGGCTCATCACCTATAGAGTTTTTGTTCTTAGAATCTTGATTGATTAGTAAATACCCAAAATAAAAAAATAATATAATGACATAAAAGAAATAAATTACTTTAAGCGATTTAATTAAATGTATGTACTGTGTAGTTGTCGTCTATTATTGAAACATTCACATCCAAAACTGAGTTATAATCTTTTAGATGACGCTTAAAGCTTGAATTTGAGTAATCCAAAATTTTCTAAAAATATGTATCAAGATAGTCTTGTCTTCTATATAAAAAAAATTAAATAAATAATGGTTATAATAAATGACATACTTATACGCTTAAACAACTATTAACTGGCAATATTTGCCAGTATTTAACTTGTTTAATGCCCTATTGTACAGCGGATCGTAATTCTCGAAATTATTTTGTAATGGTTTAAGCTGTTAGATCTTTGCTATGCTTTGCTATGGATAAAAACCGGAACTCGTTTCGGCCCCAACATTTAGGTTAAAATTATAGCACTTCTAAGTCTTGCAGGAATAGAATAAATACAGCAATGGGTGGGATAAAAGATATAGCCGGATTTTATTAGAACATATGATTTTCAATGGGATCTGAAGACACGCTGGGCACGCCAGTCAGAAAAAGACAAATAAGTGAAGTTATCTACGTTCTTCGTTCTTGTTGCTTCGAACGTCAACAAGAGTAGACTTGTGCTCGAATTTATGGGAACTACAAAGTATTGCAAGTAAATTTCTTCTTGCTGTAACCGTCAACGTGAGCAGACGTGCCCAATAGAGTTCGATTAGAAACACGGAAAGAAAAACAAAAGAGGAAAGAAGAACAAAAACCGAGAAATTTGTGGAAGAATTTAAAGGATACCAAACTGAACAGTGCAGGGTTAAGTGTTAATTAAGTGGATGGCCAAGCTAGAGAGAAAATTAATTAAGCAAGGAAAAGAAAAAAAGCATTATTATCTTTTATCGTATAACGCTGAAAAAATATTATGGTTAATATAATGTGTTAATGGTGTGAAGGGAACAATAAAGTTTCCTTAAAGTAAAAATAATATTAATGCTAACAGAATCAATGGACAGATGGATTGCCATTTAGCCTCAGTCCTTAACACATCGTCCTTCAGTACTTTTAGAGTCCGGAATATACAAATTTCTTCCAACCGCACCTGGAATAACTACTGAGGTATTCCGCATTTGTTATCAGGCACAATCAGATCATAATATTTAACTATTTTATAATTATTACGTAAAAGAGCAGCTTCTCTACTGTTATATAATACTATATTTATTTACTTTATAATACTGTTTTATATACTGCTTGTGATGCAAGCGAATATTGAATTTTAGAAAGACGTAAGATGGCCCCCCACCTCTTATTATACTGATTGATTTAGAATCACTTCTTGAATCGATCCAAGCTGTCCGTCTTGTTTTGTTGTCAACTTGTTTAACTACTTCCCGTACAACGCCTTGGTTTGGCAATTATATTTAAGGTGGTTTTAGACCTTCTATTGTCTTTTTAATAACTCTTTATTATTGCTGTTAGAAAATATACCGTAAAATAGCTGGACATGTTTTATAAGAATTTTTAAAGGAACAATTGCGTTGCAGAGCTTGATAATTAATGATCAAATTATCGACGTCAAATAACTAACGCATAAATACAGTATGATGCTTCTTATAAAATGTCCAACGATTGGCGAAACGATTGCCTGCTTATGAAAGTTAATTACAAGAGTACCAGAAAACTTAGATCAAAACTTTATTTTATTGGATGCAGGAAAAGTAAGGGAAAACCGCAATGAACCACAAATTCTTCTAAAATTATTATTGTATGCCTATTGTCAAGCCCACGGCACCGTTAATTAATTTAACATACGCAAAAAAACTTTGAAAAGACTGAAGAATACCTTTATTGGAGTGTGCTTTACGCTTTTGCACAAGAAAGTTCAAAAGTTTTTCTACAATGATTGACAATTTATATAAAGGAAAAACGAGAAATACAAGAAACAGCAACCATAACAAATGCCAGAAACACTTTAAACAAGCCGGCTTATTTGGCTTCAAAGAATTTTTCGAACTAAAAACTGCAAAGAGAACAACCACTGATATTGGATTTACAAAAAAACGGACAAATTTATGCAGGTTTATTGTTTATCCGAAACTATTTTCGCAGTCATTTTATATTTATTTAAGTTCTGAACTTATCATAAAAAAGCACTAATTGTAGCAAATTTTTATCCAAAATTACTTTAAATTTTTCCTCGTGCTCGTCGGTTCGTTCACCCGTATATGCCGATTAACGATTTACCGCCAAACAAAAATCACACGTTTGAGAAAACAAATTAAGATATACGATAATAGTCATTATGTCCATTAAAGTTCACAAAGTTTGTAAAGTATATGAGTATTACTCGCTTATCAGCTTTTCTAGAAGATCTAAAAGAGTGAAAGAAATATAAAACAAGTTGAAAATTTTATTTCACTATTGACGGGGTGCGACTGTCAATTGATGTTGTTCCGAAATTTGTTCTAACTGCTTAGTGGGACCTTCTTCAAATGAGAGCTGAAAACAATTCTCATCGCTTCCATTAGAGTGAAGAGATATTTACCGTTCAACTGAAAGCAAATTTAAATCTCTTACTTGTTGTGTGTTATCTTTTTGTTAAATATTTAAATTCATTCCTTGAATAATAAATCTTAACGCTTAATAACAGAGCAAAAATGAAAATTTTTTTCACTAAAATATGTCAAAAACTTGAAAAACTTTGCTTAATATTCGAAGAATGTTCTCAGCACTTTCGAAATTACACTCTATTTTAATTGATTTGCTTTATTATAATTGAAAGTCATTTCCATCCAGTTCATCTGCAAATGTAACCACACGACCATAGCTTAGTAGTGTTTATTCGTTGCTTCCTTTAATTTTAAGTTTTTCTCTTTTTTTTCGTCCTAAAACAAAAGTAACACAATTGAATTTGCTTCAGTTTTTGTGGTCGATTTTTTGCAATTATACTATATGCATGTGGGTGTGTTTTTTTTTTCATAAAGAATTTTATGATTCGAATTCATTTTTTCTTCATGCGGTTTTATATAATATTAATGCACACAAAACAACTTCGTTAAGGATATTAAAGCAGATACATATGTTACTTATCATTGGGTCGGTTAAACACGCACTTATACTATTTTAAATTTTTATTTCTTTGATGGAAAGCTTTTACTAAAACATGATTTTATATACAATAGTGTGATGGTCAAAAATTGTTACATCTTGCACTATATCAGCAGTCAGTAATTTTTTTTGGCTGTGAGCCAAAATCAACCAAATGTGAGTATTAAAGACATATTTTCGTATTAAGACCATCTCTAAGTAAATAATAAGATATACTTTATTAAGAAAATAATTCCAACATAGTTGAATTCGATATCATTCCCGGCGCCCCGGTTGTTGAACTTGTGCCGTCAATTTAGTCAAGTTGGGTTTATGGGTAGTGTTTTATAATCAATTTTTTTATATTATACCTTAATTTCGGATCTAAAGAGGGTCACTTGAAATCATCAAATGGGCCACTCGATGACCAACGGGTCATAGGTTGCCGACTCCTGCGCTATAGGTTAGTACGACTAACTAACGAAACTGTTGCATAGCTTTCAGTGTGCCATCTTAAGAACCCTCACACAAGCTGAAAGGAGAAAAAAATTTTAAAAAGCATTTCAGTCTTGGAAAAGCAATTTTGCCTATTTGTCGCCGTTTAGGTATATTCATAAGGAATAAACTGTTTTTGCGTAATGTGGTAAAGATATTGGATCACTAACGACTATAAATTTTAGTGGTGAACCTCTCGATTTTGAAAAACTCCCGAAATGAATTTCCGATTGATAACTGACTTTTCGAATAATTCGATTGGTTGTTCAATATTTTGGGTTAACTGTTTAGTTTATCCAAATTCTTTTCTAGGTAACCGATCATAGTAGTTTTTAAATCCAAGTCTACTCATTTGTTTAAAATATAGCAATCATACTGTACCGCACTTTTACGATAGGTATTTTCAAAACCACTGACCTGGTGGACGTCACGATCGAAAATACACAAGGGGATACAACCTAATCGATGGAGAATCTGAAGCTTGTCGAAAATATGCATATATGTGCTGCTTACTATGCAGTCTCCAACAATAATTAAATTTTTTTAGTCATTCAAAAAAGCATATTTCTTACTCATCGTGCGCTTAAATGAAGTCAACCTTTTAAATATTTATTCGTACTCTTCAGAAAAATCCGTAAAAGTTCATAAATAACTCCAAGTAGAAAACTCGATTATATCTCCTTTTTCCAGTATTTGTTGAAATCATGAATCATGATAAAAACTTTTATAGGTTAACTGAACCGACCTCAGGATTAACGCGTTGATCGTTTCACGTTTCTTGCGTAATCAGACTTCTTTTTAATAGTTACATGTGCAATATTTTGCAACTATCTGTTTGTTTCTTACCCTAAGATATTAGCAATTCGGCTATGTTATGTTACACATGTGCTGTTGGATAATGCTAAAATATCTACATATGCTGTTTGTTCCATAAAACAAACCTGATCTGATTTCATTTCTCGCCACAATCGATAGTTTACAGACCGACCAATAATTAGCAAAAATTTGATAAATCTTTTTTTTTAATATAAACTCAAATTTATATAGATTTTCATTTCTAGATTCAAACCGAATCTAAAATGTTTCTTTCACTAATGAACCACGTAATGTATTTTTAAGAGCTCTTCACATGAGAGAGACAACGAAGCGACGCACGTCGAAAATAATACGAGTGCGAAGAAGATTTCGGTTTTAATAGCTAAAAAATTAGTATATTACTGTTGTTGTATTTTTATTGTAAAAACTTAGAAAGCACCAAAAATGTAATAAAATTCATGGTTTAAGAAAAAAAAATTTTTTCGTGTAACATGTAGAAGTTCAAATATACAGCAGGAAGAGATAGAAGTTGAAGAACAAAATACTTCGATATAACGTTTCTTCATCTCATATATTGCCCATATTCCAGCACCCATATTCTTACCGCAATTGAAGCTTTCGGTGCCCTTACTATATGTTATATGGGGAATAACTTCTATACCCTATTGTGTAACGAGATTTTGTTCATTTGTGGCTGGCTTAGTGGTATTATGGGAAGAATATACAAACAAATGAGATTTGAACTCGTGAGTTTTTGCATCGACTAGCAAATTCTTACTTTATAAAACACCCTCATCTGCGAACAAGTGAAAACTTGGATCAAGATGCAGTCAATCAGTTAATGAAAACACAGGGTATCCCAAGATTCACGCAAATGCAACAGCTGAGTTGTTTTTCTGGCTGCACGGTATGCAGCATTGCCTTGTTGAACCCAGATATCGTCCGTATTCATAGTTTGCTGTCGGACACAAGAAAACTGACTACTTTGTTGTAATAGCGACCAACCCTCAGTGTTATTACGTAAGCAAGAAGAATGATGCGTCGATGCTTGTAACACAAAATTTGCCACGAATTGCAACTGTATTCTGTAAATTGAAAATGATTGACAACACAGCTGACGCGTTCATGTGTTCTGAAATTTTGGGTATACATAACTTAGGTATTAATGCTTGTACGGGACAAGTTTCGGCTGTTCACAACCTGCCATTCATTGCAAATCAAAGTATAAGAACGTGAAGGCCTTTAATGGGAAAGCATTTTATACTGGTTTAAACTGAAAAAATATTCGACCGAAGCAACGGATATTAAACGTTGGCTTGAAGTTAACATGCAGAAGGCCATCCGTAGTTGGCAAATTTTTTTGCGAGATTTCGTGCAAAAAATTTTAGTCTTGAAAATGAGGAGCAATCACATACGTCCGTCCGTCCGTCTCCAACAAAAGCAGCACTTGTCGGTGGACTGCGGCGTGCTCTGCAGATTTGTGTCCTAATGGTTAGCTTTGCAAAACGGTCAATGACTATCGAGCTTCGAAACCAGGAACTTTCTGCCGCATGGGCATAGTTAGGCTGTAGCAGGTATTTTTTAATTAAGTTTCAAAGTTATTTAAAAAAATCAACGAAAGCAGCACTTGTCGGTGGACTGCGGCGTGCTCTGCAGATTTGTGTCCTAATGGTTAGCTTTGCAAAACGGTCAATGACTATCTATAATTTTGCTGGGTAAGAGTAATAAAAAATAAGTCATTTTTTAATTTATGTGGGCTTCGAAGTTTGGAATATCTAGTTTATGAATTTAAACGTTAAATTTGAACATCGCATAAATCAGGGATGCGTTCATAATTATTCAAAAGCCCTATAAAAAGAGATCTACATGAAAATATGAATTGAAAAATCTAAGATGTACGACCTACTCCGTATGGAAGGATTGACAGAGAGAGAGAGAGAGAGAGAGAGAGAGGGAGAGAGAGAAAAAACTTATTTTACAATTGATTGATCGGTCAATGATGCTAAGAGAAGACTAACTAAGTGCATAAAATCTTGTAATAAGAATTGAATACAGACCATAGTTATTGTGTTGAAAAACGTACGTAAAAATCGATCTTTTATTGAAATTTATTAACCTCCTGAATAGACTACGAAACTATAATAATAATTTAAACACTTAATATTTAAGCGTCAAAAAGCCAGTAAATTGGTATAAAGTACCTCTGCAATAAATATAACTAAATTGTTTTAAGAATCCTCAATGATATACGAGACGAACTTTAGAAAAAAAGGTATTAATTTTATTCGTACTTTTTCTGTTTGTCCCTTTTTTATTGTTATTAAATATATTTTTATCCAATTTTTTTTTGCTTGTTCGGTATAAAAATTTATTACTACTACTTAAAGTGCAATTTATATGTATGTATGAGTAAGAAAAAAGTTGAACCATTTGCCTTTGCAAAGAAAAAAATTGAACCATTTGTCTATAATTTAACACTTAAAATGATGTGACCACCACACTTGTATGCGAACACTCACGCATACGCTTATATCGCGAATTACTTTATAGTTGTTTGATCACAGGGTTGGATTTCAGTGTGTGGCCTTTTTTTTTTTTCTTTTTGTTAGTCATTCATTTATACTGTATTTCGTTTTTATTACTATTATATTTGCTACTGTTGCTATTATTGTTGTTGTTTTTCTTTTTTTTTGTTTCTGTTATCTTTCTGAGTGATATTTCAACGACCAAATGGTGTTAAAATAAGCTTTCATCAAATTGAATTGTATGACCAAAATACTTATACATGGTATAGTTTGTGCGGGTGTTGCACTCTGTGTGCATGCACAGAGAAGTTGTGATTGTTGTAAATTACATACACTTGGTAAACAAAAAAAAAAAAAAAAAAAAAAAAAAATGAACAAAGAAAGAAATTGAACGACTACCATCATTGAATTTATTGCAATTGTGACTTAAACCATTTTATCCAACGTCAACAGCTTGACCAAAGCACTTACAGACCCCACCACCGGACATGTACGAACAACATGAAAATTTATTTATCTTCACACGAATTTGGTTTACCTTATTTTCACATTTTATTTTCCTTTCTTCTTTTTCTATAAATAAGTTTAGAAGAACTTGTGCTATATGTGAGGCGCAACATTTCACCTGCCTCAACCTTTTGAACATACTTTCGCAGAATTAAATGCATCGATAATCTAAATTTTCACGGCTTAAAGTTACTTAATATTACACTTAAGTTCTTTGGGCAGACATAACACCTAATAATTGGTTTATAGTTAACTTAGTCCACATCAAATGGCAAGTAAATAATGAAAATTTTTTTGATTTTTCAATACCAACAACACTTAGACGCTCCAACAGTTTTCAATTCTTTATCGAAAAAAAAATTCTAGACGACTCTAAATAGCTTTTTGAACTCAAATATATCCGTACATACATACGCTTGTGCTAATATAACTAAAATGGCGACTAAAGATCAATAAGGGAATATCACAGCATATCGAACCCAATGACTGACTACTTACTAAATAAAACAGCACAACAAGCTGTATACCCGCGTCTTTTTATGATGAGTGTGTGTATTGGCTTTACTGACAATAAGCTCATGTATTATACAAAATTGAATTTTAAGTCCGCTATCTTTTCGATAATATAAACATACATATGAGCATACACACAACAACAGAATAACAGAGAGTTTGAGTCATAATATTGAGTCCCTGATGGTACATGTATATGTACGTCCATCTACGTTAGTTGTTTTTACGTTTTAAGCCCTTTTTTTAGAAGAAATACATTGATATTTGTTCACATTTATGTCCACACATATGTACGTACATATATGTATGTATGCGAGAAGCAAAACCCTATCTAGATATTTTGTAGTCAGTAAAAAAAAAAAAAATGGTTTTACAAATATTTTCAATATTATGCTAGCAAGTGTAGCCCACAGCACTTTACACATATACCTTTATGCACGCATACACATGCACGCAAAAGTCTTTACTTCATGCTTATTAAGCAGTATTAGTAACAGCTGCACAATTGTGATAAAAAAAATTGGTTTTTAGTTTTCCTAGAGAAAAACCCAATACATAGACACTTTATATTGAATTTCTATGGTTTATTGAATTTTTTAAGAGCCATCAACGCTTCCTCTCCTACATCCCTTAATCGGTCTATTTGTAAAATATTGTATACAG